TCCCCAAAAAAGGGTTTTTTTTAAAAAGTTTCAATATATTCACTAACATTTTCTTTATAATTGATTATATTTTATTTTGATTTTTTTTTATCAAAAACTTTAATTTCATGATCCAAACCAAATTGATTTTTGTTTGGTTTCTTAGAATTCTCTTCTTTGAGAAAAACTTCAATCAAATAAACCCTAAAACTATTTCCTATCAAAATTTTAATTTCAAACTTTCAACTTGAAAATTTTTTCTTATTAATTGAATTCTAAGGAAAAAAAAACATAATTACTACCAACTTTGCTAATCCTCTCATCAATTTTATATGTAATTGCTAGAAAAAACCAAAGAAAAAGAGAAAAGCACTTTAATTCATTTCTCATTGTGCTATATACTTCATCTTCATGTACACATTAACATCAATACAATAGCTAGCAGGATTTCTCCCTGATTTACAAACTCTAATTAAGAGAAAAAAAATTCATCAATATAAAATCGATGACCATTCAGTATCTCTCTTCAGCAAAGCATCCAGTGATCTGGGTCTGGCTCGACTTCGTCTCCCCAGACCTTTTTTATTTCAAAAAAAAAAAAGTAATTTACTAGTAATTAATTATAACCTTTTTATGTGTAATTTTATTCTTTTTCCTTGAAATATAATTTAACCTGTAATTTCCACGTCAGAATCTCCAGTCCAGTCGGACTTCACTGGGTCCCATGACATGCTGACTTGGCTTCCTAAACGACACGATGTGGCTGCCAACCATGAAGGCAGTCACGCGCTCTGAAACCCGGATGTCCTCCATCTTTAATTCCTGCAATCTTCGCACGTACTCCGGCACGTGTAGAAGGTCCCAGACCACTCCGACCCCACCGGGCTTCAACACCCTCACCATCTCCCCCAGTACCCTCATTCTCTCCGCCGCCGCCTCCACCGTCCGATGGCCGTATTCTTTTCCTACGGTGTGGACGAACACAGCCGATACCACCGCATCAAAATAGTTATCCACAAATGGAAGACTCCTCGCGTCGCCTTCCCGGCACGTGACATACTCTCCGACGCCTGCGTCGGGGAAGCACTTCAATTAAAAGGAAATTACGAATTTACTAAATTTGGTAAATTAAGATTTAATGTAAAATACACACACCTTCAATTTTGGCGGTTCGGAGAGTTGAGAGAGTGGTTCGTTTTAACCGGTCCAAGCCGACGACCCGGCCTGAGCTGCCAGTCTTCTTCAGCTGCCTCGCCACCGCATTCAGCAGTATCCCCCTCCCGCACCCGATGTCAAGCGCCAATTTCACAGTTGACCAGTCGTTTACGGAGCCTACCATCCGCTGCGCCATGTCGTAGTGCAGCGGTCCGGCGGAGTAAAAGAAATTAGCCGCGGAGAAGAAAAGGCAAACGGCCGAGATAGCCGTGAACGCACCGCTGAAGCCGGCGGCAAAGCGAGCCGCGCCAGGACTAGAAAGGAAAGTTTGAAAGAAATAGAATATCACATCGAAGTATAACAGAAACAGCACGGACAGCACCGAGAACAGTACGGCATGGCACAAGAGAAACACCAGCGTCTGCCACTGGTCCATGCCGTATATCGCGTAGATCTGAGTCCATTCTCTACCAAAATTACTTTTTCCCATCTCGTCTCCAAATCCTCCACAAAAATCTCCAATCTCCGGAACCGGAAACGTCCCGGTAATTTTATCAGCGCCTTCCGATTTCAGCTTGAAATCTGAAAAACATTGAAACATACATATCAACAACTTCCTCAAATTCGTATCGAAGATCTTTCGCAAAAGCAGTAGACGACGATTCTCAGTTCAAAAAAAAAAAAAGGAAAGTGTAAGATTCCTGGTGAAAAGAAGAAAACAAGTGAAAATACAGCAACAACATGAAATTGAAAGTTGACACAATTTTGCTTACCAAAAGGAAGGAAAGTTGAGTGATAAACAAGTGAGGCAGCAATTAATCAAGTAGCAGACAATGCAAAAAACTTTCTTTCTTATATCTTCTGAAACAAGAAATTGTTTCTTTTCTTTTCTTTTTCCTCTCTTTATTTTCCTGCGCTTTCTCTGCAACCAAACAGATCATCAATCACAGTGTTGCATCCGCCGGGAGGAAACAAGAGAGAGGAAGAGAAAAAGAGGAATTACAGACGATCACGATGATTGTGTTGAATCTGCAAATGTCAGGTCTCTTGGTTAGGATCATGATTTCATTGGTGCTGATTTTCACGCGCTTTTTGTGTTTGCTACCTTTTTCTTTTTTTTTTTTCTTTTAAATTTTAAAGAAGAGAACAATGGAATTTGATTTGAGTAAAGTTCAGCTTCTCAGCGGTGGAATTGTACGGATTTATAAAGAATAGAGAAAGGGAGTGATTGCTGATTGGTTAGGTCGGTAAGGGTAAAACGGGGAATAAAATAAAGGTGGCGGTACAAGCAGACGGCACGAGGATTGTTTTACCGGGTAATTTTGAGATTTTCTTAATCTTATCTTTTTTGTTTTTTGGAATATTTAAATATTTTTCCCGGGAGTAAGATATTTAAAAAAAAATGTTGGTGGGATTTTAAAATCAGAAGGCGCCTGAGATATTGAAATGCTAATATAAAAATAATTACAAAATTTTAAAATCATAAGTTTTACCCTTTCTTGATCGGACACAGTCACACAAGAACTATTGTCAAAATTAGCCGCCAAATTTTCACACTTTAAAAGGAATAGTAATTTTTGACTAAGCACACTTTTAGGAAATTTTATTAGGAAAAAAAGTATTTTGTA